GTATTATTATATATTGAACACATTTTCTTTCAAGTTAATATATTATTTATTAAAAATTATTTATTTAATTGCACATTAATAAAGTTGGATTTTTATAAATATAATGAAAAAATTAAGTTTCTTGTATTCTTCCTTTAATCAATACAATTAATTTATTTATTGGTTAAATAATAATAATAATAATAATAATAATAATAATAATAATAATATTATTATAATAAATGCAATTAGTTATTGTAATAATTAATTAATTGTGATATATATAATAAAATAAATTTATGATTATACTGATAATGTGAACTATAACAATAAATGACGAGATCCGCAGTCGGATCCGCCCCAGCACCGAGCCAGTACAGACCTAACATCCGTCATTCTTCCGACGCCCGTAGAAAAATGAAATCCGCAGGCGGAACAAATCCAGTACCGCGCCAGTACTGACGAAAGTAGAAAGGCTGATCCGAAAGTCGGAGCCTAATCTGTTCCGCGCCGGTTGAATTTTGGGATCCGAATCGGTACAAAACATCGATACTGGCGGTCCGCACGAGCGCGGATCCCAGGCGGTTGTAAACTCAGACATTCGTCCGACTTTTCCTCCTGGGTTCTTTTTATTCCAGAAAATATTTTTATTACAAAACTGTTTTACAAAATATTTTTTCACAAACCATAATAAACAATTGTGAAGAACACAATTCGATTAATTAATTAGAAAATTCACTATTGTTGTTCACTATTGTTTACTATATTTATAAAATATAACGTTTTACATATATTTATTTTGAATTAAATTTTAAACACTTATTTTTTTATTCAAAATAGGGCGGTGTCAAAGTGGATTGGATTTTTGCATTGAGCTTCAATGGGAAAATCGCAACGACTTTGCCATCCCCAACAAGAAGACTTTCACGCGCGGATCTAGTTCCTTTGGCAAATGCTGTAAAGCAACGGACGCTAAAATTAAGGACCTTTTGACGAAAATTTCTAAGACATTATGGAAAATTTCCAAATATTTCTTTTATTCGAGAAATTTCACGAACTTTCAGGCTAAATAAGCCTATGATAAAAAAACCGGAATTCGAAAAGTCATAAAATAGAATCTCTCGCAAGGCGAAACCCTTAGCTGGTCATCTTAATTTAAACCAGATGTGACAAACTTTTCAAAAGGAAAAAATTCTTTAAGAGATTTATATTTTTAGCTGAAAATGAAATAAAAATGAAAATATTTTAAAGTACATGAGTACAAAATTCGGAATTTATTTCATAAACTTTAAAAAAAATTTATTTATTATTTATTAGGAAATTATAAGTGTAATTAACTTTATAACAATGCTTCTAAAAGAAAAAAGCAGTTTTGTTTCAATTGCAATAATATATTTTAATTAAATATCACATCAAGCAAATTAAATGTATTTTTATTAATTTAATAGAAATTTTATTAATTTTTGATAGTGATATTCACCTATTTTGTGAGAAAAGTTATATTCATTACAATTTTTGGGACTTTTTCCTAACTTTTCAAATAATATTCACTAATTTTTTTAGGAAAATATATTCATTAGAATTTACGTAAATTTTCCCTAACTTTTTAAATGATATCCACCAAATATTTTGGGGAAAACATATTTATTAGAATTTTAGAGAATTTTCATTAAATTTTTTGGTAATTTTCACCATCTTTTTAAGAAAAAGCATTTTCCTCAGAAAATGTAGAAGATTCACCATAAGTAATTGGTGAAAATTCCCAAAAATTTTTACAGTTTTAAAATGCAACAAAACAAATCATTTTTATTTCTAATAAAAAAGTGATGTCATTAGATCAAAAATTCATCACACCAAATGGAGCAAAATTCCCAATAAAATTATATTGTTTATTCATTTATAATTTTTAATATCAATTTATAATTTTTCTATAATTATTCTATGCCAGAATTGTATTTTATAATTGTTTGAAAATTAGAAAATCTTTTTAACACACTTTTGAGTGATGTATAATTAGATTAAAATTTGATCTCATCTAATGGACCAAAACCAAACACTTTTATTTATAAAAATAAAAATTGGTTATTGGCGTAAACAATAATTAAGTTCAGGTTTATAATATAAATATTTTCACGCGCATTTATTACATTGTGAATAACATTGAATTGGCAAATTTAAATTAGGAGAAGACGAAAAATTAATTTTTTATATTAAAATCTGACAATAGCCTAATTTTTATTCTCATTTTATAGTTTTTTCTTTAATTATTCCAAGACAGTATTACAATTTGTAATAGTTTAAACATTGAAATATCTTTTGCATAATTTTCAAGTGATGTAATGAAATCAAAATTTCATCTCATGTAATGCAGCAAAACCAAACACTTTTAATTATAAAAAGCAAATATCGTTAAATGGCGTGAACACTAATTATGCTTAGATTTTTAATATAAATATTTCCACTATCGTTGATTATGAATTAAATAAAATCAAACATCAAAAATTCATCTTATCTAATGGAGCAAAATTTGCCAAAAAATGTATATTATTAATTTTAATATAATTTTTATACTCACTTTATAATTTTTCTATAATTATTCCATGCCAGAATTGTATTTTGTAATTGTTTAAATATTAAAACTTCTCTTCACAACACTTTCGAGGGATGTAATTAGATCAATATTTCATCTCATGTAATGAAATAAAATTAATTAATATTATTTATAAAAAACAATTATTGTAATGAACAATAATTAAGCTAAATTTACATTGGTAAGAAAATATGATTTTCACTTTTGTTAAAAAATAATTTTTTATTGGTGATCGTTTTTTTTGTTTATTGTTTTTGTGAGATAGGATAGATATTAATTTCGCTTTCAGGCTTCGCACTCGACAATTACTTTTAAGAAAGTAGCTTTAAAACTAAAAATAGTAGTAAAAAGTAGCTATCGAAAAATTAAAATTTGACAATTAAAAAAATCTCGTTTTAATCGAATCACAAAAAATTGATTGAGAATAATTTTTCTTTTTCAATTATTAGAGGATTTAAACTAAAATGTAATTTGTGAAAAAAGTAGCTTTTAGTGTCAGAAATTTGAGAAAAAAAGAAGTAAATAGTAGATTTTAGTAGATGAGTGCGAATCCTGCTTTTTTATTTATTACGTTTCAAAAAAGAATATTATTTTTTTAAATATTACAGCTTTTAATATAAATACCATTAATTATAAAATAAAAATTGGAATAATTTTTCTAAACTTCCGTAATATTTGATACTCTGTAAGAAGTTTAATCATTTCTAAAAGTATGAACGTGAATTCAGAAAAACTGTTTTACGTTAGATAATTTAAAAAATTAATCAAATTAAATTCAAATTAAAAAATATAATTGTAATAAATATTACAATTGTTAATAAATTATATTTTACTTGTATTCAAGAAAAGTTAAGTACTTTCTAAATTTAAAATAAATGCAATTAATTTATAATTAGGTATAAGTAAAATTACGTAATACAACAAAGAATTCTTAATCTCATTATTCAATTAAAATACAAACTATAATTCTATAAAAATAAAGAGCTTTTAAAAATATCAAGAAATCTTATTATTAAAGCAATTATTAAATTATTCCAAAGAAAAAATATAAATAAAGACGATTTAAAAATGTTATCCGCAACCTCCGCAACTAAACAATTAATTAATTAATTCAAGTAATTTATTGATTTAATTAATTAATTACCAATTCATTATTACTTGAGTTAAATTTATTTTCACTCATCATATGACATTTCTTATTTTCACAAATCCTAAAGTGTCTATACAATAGATCCACTAAAAAAACGCCTAGCTCCATCTCTCGGAAGTTTTAACAACAGACATTTTTCTCTGCAAAAACATGACGTCACTTCCGGTGGTGCATTTCGTCGGTGGTGTATTTGGAAAGTTACCGGTTATAGTTCAATATACTACCGTCGCGCGTGCTTCATTTTCATTTTACTCAGGTGAGTCCCAGGCGTACTACTATTTTTTCAATTTTTCAGTTTCCACTTATCCCCACTAGATAATATCTTCTGCCGATAAAACAGAACGCCTTATTATCTTTAGTTTAGGGTCTTTAATTCAAACTGGCCGCTGACTGTGTTTTAACAGGACCAAAACAACAAGTAATTTTCGTCTTCATAGTGCTCTTGAATATTCGATAATCACATCCGAATATTTGCACCAGGAAACAATTCCCCTGTTGACTTCGACTAATAACGGCGATAACGGATCAGCAGATTTCCATTGAACATTTTCTCGATGACTATGAAAATAATAAAATACGAACGGCAGAATTCTTTTTCAAGTTTTATTACAATTGTTGATCTGACGAGCTGGCAGGTTTTATTTAATTAAATAATTTAATGGGGACAAATTTTAATTGTCACTGGTTATGCAATCGTTAATGTTTAAAAACTGTAAATCGAAGATTGAATGCTCCTTATTACCCCTTTTCGAATTCCGATTTTATTTTTGTTAATGTTTTAACGTTACGTTCTTCAGTTCAATGTTTAAACGAAATTATTTATATTATTTAAACCTTTTATTGCAAAATACTTGATTAGATGATTTTTTTTTCTCTAAAAAAATACTTGTTATAACGTATTGATGTATCATTTTTATTACTTTTATTGTACATGAAATGTCGTTCATTTATAAAAACATGACATTTTGATGATAGGCTTCGATATTTAGACTTAAGGTACTCTCTCACCTCTACTGCCTGCCTGCCTGCGCAGGCAGGCGCAATGAGAGTAAGGGAGAAAAAACATTTAATTTGAATTTTCTGACTCTCTTACTCTCATGTGTTACCATGACGACCTGCAGGCAGGCAGGCAGGCAGTAGAGCTGTGCGAGCGCCTTTATTGCTTTGGCATTAATATACCGTCTGTGTAAATCTTCATTGATATAGATATTTAACATTATTTATGTCTTAAAAGAAATTTCATTCTTTTTCTCTCCTCCTGGGAATAAGTTCGAGTATAAATCTATAAGTACAAATTTATTTTTTTTTTATTATAAAAATCAAAACAATATGACTTTGGTTGCAAATGTTGTCTTTTCTTTTGATGTTTACAGGTGTTTATAAAAAAGTTTCTTCCTATAATTAAATCGCAACACTTGGCTGTCAAAACAACATTTTAGTTTTATCAAACACATTTATTTTTTAATCTGCCAAGACTCTCTATTTCTGTTTCCAAAAGATCTCCTTTCTGTAAAAAAAGGGAAAATAATTAAACATTTTAATTCAATTCATTTGTCGAAATAATTAATTTTTATTCGTTATTTTAACCTTCAAGAACTCTGGTGGTTTTCGAGTGAATCCGACACCAGCTGGAGTGCCCGTCAAAATAACATCACCGGGTAATAATGTCATGAACCTAGATTAAAAATGTACCACTCAAAAATCTAATAATTAATGAAGCAATTTACAATAATATATAAATTATCAATAATTTTATAAACTTACTAAGTTTAAATATAAATAATAAAAATGAGTTTAAAGAACAAAAGTTACTCACTGTGAAAGATACATTACAATATCGTGTGGCTTGAAGATTAATTCACTGGTGTTACCACTTTGCTTGACGTGTCCATTTACCCAAGTTTTGACTGTGAGATTATTAATATCACAAATGGCTTCTTTTGTAACCACTGCAGGTCCTAGGGGACAAAAGTTATCCATCGCTTTTCCAAGAAGAAACTGACCTCCATTACGTTTACCTTTCTGCCAATCTCGAGCAGATAAATCTTGAGCCACTGTGTAGCCAAAAATATAGTCTTCCACATCTTGATTATTTAAATTCTTGCATTTTTTTCCTATAACTATTGCGAGTTCAGCTTCCCAATCAACTTTCTAAAATGAAGAATAATTTTTTCCTTTAAGAATGGAATGGACAGGACAAATTGTTATTTAATTTATTATTTGTTTAATTTCTAATTGTTTTTAATCATTTTTAAAAGCTACAAGGTTTTCAAAAATTAAAAGTTCCAATTTTTTTCGAAATCAAAATTTTCAACTATGCTAATTATTTTCGTTGAAGAAAAAGCAATCACAGACTTCGCACTCGATAATTAATTTGTAAAAAATAAAAAGAAGTAGCTTTCAAATTAAAAATAGTAGCAATCAACAAATTAAACTTGACGACCAAAAAACTCGTTTTAGATACTTTACAAAACTGACAAAAATTCGATTCTATATTTTATTTTCCTGACTTTTCCTAATTTTCATAAAAAATATTTACTTCATTCTTATCCTGCTAATAAATTTAATTTCTGCAACGAATTTTATAATTCATGAAAGAATTTAAATATTTCCAAAAATAATTTATTTCTTGAGAAGAATTTTATAAAAAATTTTAAATAATTGATTTCTTTCGACTAATTTTATGCAAATTATAGGTATTTAAAATAATTAAATTCATGAGAAATTTTTATTAGTCATATTAAAAAAAATTGAATTGTTACGAAGATTTTTACAAAATAATTTTAAATAATTAAATTCTGTTTGGAAATTTTATGAAAATAGTAGTAGATATTGAAAATCATTAAATTAAATCATTAAATCATTTTTTTGAAAATAATTGAATTCCTAAAAAGCATTTTACTATTTATGAAAATAATTGAATTTCTAAAAAGCATTTTATTATTTATGAAAATAATTGAATTCTTGAGAAAGATTTTTTTAGAATTTTTTTAAATAATTGAATTTCCAAGAAGAAATTTATTACTTTAAAAAATAATTGAATTTTCGTGATGAATATTCTTATTTATGAAGATAATTGAATTTTGCAAAGAATTTTATTAAAATGCCTCAAGAATTAAATTTTCGGGAACAATTTTGTTATTTATCGACATAATTGAATTCGGATTGAATTCTTTCGAAGAATTATTTATGTAAATAATTAAATTCTTCGGAAGAATTTTATTAAAATCTAAAAAAATAATTGAATTATTTCAAAAAAAAATTAATTAAAATTGTATTTAAAATAATTGATTTCTTTCGAACATATTTTATTTAAAATATTTGAAATATTGAAATCCTGTGAAGAATTTTATTATTTAGGAGAATGTATTTTTTGAAAATAATTGAATCATTTTAAAGAATTCGATTATAATTTTTGAGAATGGTGCATAAAATTTTGTTATCTAAAAGAGAAACTCACGTCAGAAATCGCGGGTAACTCAATATTATCTGTTGGTCCAATAATATTACTGGCAAATTTACTAAAAACCACAGGACTCGGAGGCGGTTCAACATTCTGTTCTTTACAGTGACCACTGTAATTTAAACCAATACATGCCAACTTGTCCATATGTGTGATTGGTGCTAGAAAATTTACATCAGCCTCTGGTATAACACTTCGTCCCTCTGCCACTATCCTAAAAAAGATCAAAAATTAAATTAATATAAAAATCAAAAGCCAATAAATCAAAAAACACATTTTAAACAAAATTTTCTAAAAAAAATCAAGTTAAAGTCATAAATAAATTTCAGGAAATGTTTAAGAATACTAATTTTCTTTTACGAAAAAAGGTTTTCTAACAAAAAAAAAATCATTAAATAAAAACATTCTGAAATAAAACTGTAATAAAATTAAAAATAATAACAAAAGTTAATAGAACAAAATATTGTTTTGTACCCGTGACACAAAACATAATATAATAAACATATTAATCACTTTCTTTTCTTATAAAGTTTGAAGGCAATTTGAGGATAAGATATATCTACTATTTACTCCATTTTATTTCGTTAGGTTTTAATAATCGCTATTTTTTACTTTATACCTACTCGTTATTTTTCTATATTTTATTTAACAAACAGTCTTCAATCTATAAGATTAAGTTTGTCAAATGCATTTCAAAGCGCATAATATGTTATATAAAAAATAATGGACATAAGCAGACTAATTGACCAATGAAGTTGCTATCGCTTTATATGAAAGCTTTCTGGAAAATCTGCTTCCTCTTAAATAGAGAAAGTGCAATAAACGTTAATGAAAATATAGAAAGCCTATGTTGCTATTCTATCGAAAGAATTGTAACACATCCTAATTGATTTCTTTTTTATTGCAAAAAAGAACTTTTTTTATTTTTATTTTTATTTGTAATATCAATAATTTGAAATGTTATATTTTAATTATTTCTTTTTCATTAATGACTCACGAAATGTACCTAATATTACGAAATATGCAAAAAAATCAGATAATGAATTTTGATAATAATCTTGAAAAACAAACAGAACCTTGTAAAAATGATCTAATCGCTCTTACAAAAATACATATATAACCGGATATTATAATCAGATAAAAAATATTAATTATATTATAATTTAATAACAGTGTTTATTATCGTGTCCTCAACTCTTTATTATCAATTTAATTTGAGTAATAAACTCAATATCTATTAGTATGAAAACATTATATTTTTTTGCAAAAACAATATTTATAGTTTTTTAATAGTAAATGTTGCATTATTTTCATCAAGAGAAGATTTAATTGTTGCACTGTTCTAATTATTACTTCAATAACAAAATTTTACAACGTTACCACCTCGTATATACAATAACTGTAAAATGTAAAATTTATTCATGCGAAAAACTTTCAAAAATCTACTTGTTAGTGTAATGGATCCACAATTATTAGTAATTTTATGAAGGATTTTAATCTTAAATTAAATATATATATGACAATAGAAAAAAGTGACAATTTTTGAATCTGTGGGATAAAAAATAATTCTTAAGGACATACTAGAGTAAAGGGGCATTGTCACACACTTAAATTGACAAATAATAACAAACCTCCTTACAGCTGCCATTAGATTAATATCGTCTTTCCTAATAAAAAACGCAATAATAAATTTCTCAATATTGACAAAATAAATTTTCATAATATAGATAAGAAATCAAAATGCATATTTTTCATTATTATAACAGAAAAGTACTGAAAAATATGAATTAAAAAAAAAACTGAATTAAAGCTGAGTTTATTGAATGTCTCAACTAGAAGGTAATATTTTATAGGAAATTTATACTCAACTCTGTTATAAATAATAAAGTTCAGAAATATTGATATTTACTTTGATATTAACAACTTAGACTATTCAAAATAGACTTTGAAAAAAATCTATACAAAAGTATCTACACATTGATACGGTAAAATGCAAAGATAATTATTTTATAATTAGAGGTACGAGATTATGTATCCAATGAGATTCACAATTCACTTTTGAATTTAACATAGCTCACTGGTAATATTTTGTTATCAATTTTTAAATAAACTAAACATTATAATTAACTATAAGTGTCTCTTGTTCCTTGGAGGGCTCACTATAGCTAAATCATACACAGACCTCGGATCGACTTTAACGAGCAAAAAAAAATCGCTTTAGTCCATTAAAAATAGAAAAAAAGTCGAAAAAGTCGTTTATTTAATTCACTTTTGTCACAAAAATTTTATTTTGTATTTTCCTGATTTCTAAATTCAATTAATTAAAACTTGAATAATTTTGCTAAGTAAATATTTATAAATATTTCTTATTTCTTTTTTCATGGGAAATAAATTTTAAAAGATTTCAACTTCTGAAATTTAATAATTTCTGAAAATTACAACTATAACCCTTCCAAAATTCAATTATTTTCTACAACTTTCAATTAAACTTTATATCTTAATCAATTATCTATATTAATTTTTAATAATTTTTCGAAAGTTCTTCGAGAATTCAATTATTTAAATACAAACATTCAATTTTTTTATAGTAATAATAATTGAAACTGTCAATTTTTATTTTTAAAGACATAAAGGTAGAATATTATTTCAAAAATTTGAATAAAAAAATTCTTAATATTATTTTGTTTAAAATATTTAAAAATAATTTTTGAAAGACAATAGTTTTACAATTATATACACACTAAAAAAAAAGTTTTACTTTCAGCCTGTTTTCGAGGCTGAATTTAAGGTGTAAACGGAGTCAGCCCCATTAAACAAGGACAGACTTATGTGAAATACATGGGCTGAATTTAAGGTGTAAACGGAGTCAGACTTTTTTTTTCCTGTGTACAATTAGAAAATATCCAAAAAATTCAAATTTGGTACCTATTATCTTTTAAAAAATAATTGAAATTTGGTAAAATCTTTGAAAAATTATTGAAATTTATCATAAAATCTTTTTAAAATAATTGAGTTTTTAAAAACTATAAAAAAATAATTAAATTTTTGAAGAATATTAATTATAAATGATTTCTCCGAAATTTCAATAAGTCTAAAAAAGGAATTTTAAAAAAAATTTTAATTTACTTTGTTCGAAGGTACATTGAATTTTAAAAAATTATGATAAAACAATTTTAAGAATTCGTTTTTTATAAATATTTAATGTAATTTTTCGAAAATGATTGAATTTATAAAACGAAATTTTGTATAATTTAAAAAAAATTAATTAATTTTTTGAAGAATTTTAATTAAAAATTTTGAATATGATTATTTTTTCCAAATTTTTTAAAAATATTATTATAAATATTATTATTATAAATAATATTATAAATGATTATTTTTTGTATGTATTTGAATTTTCGGAAATATGTAATCGAAAATATTGAAAATAATTGAATTTCAATAATTAGAATAAAAAAATTCTGAGAATTACTTTTTTCAAAAATATTTTAATTCATTTTTAGAAACTATAATTTTCATTAATTTTCATTTTATTAAATTTACACTTGAAGATTTTTGATTAAAATTTTTGAGAATTTAATTATTTTCAAAATTTTGCAAATTGAAATTCTTTAAAAGTTGATTTTTCAAAATTTCTAATAAAGAACTTGAAAAAAATCAATTATTTTCAATTTAATTTTACAAAAGTTCAATTTATTGAAAAGCTTTCTAATTTCAATTTATTATCTCGAATCCTCTAAATATCAGATTAAATTAATCAATAACTTTAATGCTAAATGAGAATTAATGAGCGAGAAAAGATAAATTTCTCTTTTTAATTTTTCTCAGTCCAAAATAGACAAAAAAAAATTGCAAAGAATATGAATTTTTAAATTTATCATATTAAAATAAATGTATTTTTTTCTGAAACTATGATTATAATTGTATCTTTATAAAAAAAGTTTTAATTTCTTTCAAATGACACACAATTCTCATCGACCACATTGAACCATAATTATTTATATTAAGAAAGTAACGTTAAAGCATTTGTAGATATGTAAATCACTTTGAATATGCTGATATTAAAAGCAATTTTGCACATGAATTACGCCACATTAATAAAAAAAAGAAAGTTCAATTTTATACCAGTTAAACAAATCAGTAAATTACAATTAAACATTAATTTCTTTTTACAGCTATAATTACGTAATACTAGTACTATACCTATAAAAATTAATTTCAGTTTAAAATTAAATTCTAGATGAAATATTATTTAAAACAAGACAATAGATTTTTTCGTAAAGTGAATGATATAAATTTTTCCTTCCCTTTGATTATAATATAAGTAATAAAAAGATACCTTTTTGCCTTCTTGAGCAAGTCATCACCACCTTCCAAAAATTTTTTCAAAGTATTTGGTATCCTTGAATCGATAGCGGAAACTGCAATTATGTCTCCACCTTGTTTGAGTTGCACCCCCAAGTGTTGGGGTCCACCATTTTTACTTACAAACTGTACGAACCTGACAAAAAATTAAATAATTAATTTTTGCGAGATACAAGTAATGTAGATAAAAAAATCTGTAATTATATAGTTTCACTTGAATTTATTTAAAGTATAGTTGTTTTTAAAGTTCAGTATTTCAGAATCGATTAATAGAGATGAAAGAATGAAACCGGTTGATATGGAACATGGAAATTAGTTGTGTCTGGAGTTTCAAAATCTTGAGAAATTCGAGGTGTGGTTTAACACAAAAAGACATATGTAGTGAACTTTAAATTTTGACAAAGAAACACTTGTCGATCCATTTTAAACGGAAGAAGTATGTTTCGTGAGTTAATTTTATTACCAAAATTTTTTTGTTTTATTAGATTTCAAAACAAATTTTAAAAAAATTAAAAATGTTTTTCTTGTAATTTTGATTATTTTGTTTCTCATTAGTAAACACTAATGAGAAACGAAATAATCAAAATTAAAGGAAAAACATTTTTATTTTTAATCCATTCATTGTGGATTTTTTGACTTTGGATATTTTTATTTTTGAATTTTTGTACTTTGGACTTTTTTCTTGGATTTTTCGATCTGGATTTTTTGGATTCGATTTTTTGTCCTGTAATCCAGACAAGAAGTCAGAAACAAAAAGTCCAAAGTAAATGAAATCCAAAAAAGTAAAAAAAAAATAGTTTCACTTTGGACTAATTTTTTAGATTTTTTTTTCTGGTCAAAAAGTCCAAAGAAATTAAAAATCCAATGAAAAAATTAAGATATAAAAATTTAAATGATTGCCTTGAACGAAATTGTTCTTTTTTTTGGAGTTGCTCATTTCGATGACTGTGAATCGAAAGTAGGTAAACTTAATATTTTAAATTTCTAAAAAAATAATTAAATTAATCAAACAATTAAATTGGAATTATATTGAAAAAATTATTTGAATTTTTGTAAAGAAATTTATCAAAATTGTTAAAAATAAAATTGTACTTTATGAAATAATTGTTTTAAAAATTTTATAGAATAATTTAAATTTTTCTAGAAATTTTTTTATTTGTGAGAAAATAATTGGATTTTTGTGAAGATTTTTTTTTATTTCAGAAAATAATTGAATTTTTGTGAAGAATTCTATTATTTATGTAAATAGTTGAATTATTTTAAAGAATTTTATTATATTTATGTAAATAATTAAAATCGTGTGATGTTAACATTAACATTTTAAATTCCGATTTTATAGCGTAAAAAGTAAAAAACCAACTTTAAGGTGCAAAAAAAGTTGCTTTAGTCGATTTAAAATAGAAAAAAAGTCTAAAAAGTCGTTTATTTAATTCAATGTTGTCACAAAAATTTTATTTTGTATTTTTCTGATCTTTCACTGATTTCTAAATTCAATTATTCGAAACTTGAATAATTTCGTTAAATAAATATTTTAAAATTAAATACTTCTTGTTTGTTTTTATATATAGGAATAAAATTTAAAAAATTTGTATTTAAAACCTTTCTGAAATTTAATAACTTCTAAAAATTACGACTGCAATTCTCTTAAAATTCAATTATTTTCTCCAATTTTTAATCAAACTTCTTCTCGAAATCAATTATTTTTAATAATTTTCCGAAAGTTCTTAGAGAATTCAATTATTTAAATACAAAAATTCAGTTTTTTATAATAATTGTAACAGTCCATGTTTTTCAATTATATATATACAATTAAAAAATTTCCTAACAATTGAAATTTTGTAAATTATATTTGAAAAAAATTTCTTCAAAAATTAAATTTTTAACAATTTTAATTCACTTTGTTCCAAGTTTATTGAATATTAAAAAAAATTAAGATAAAAAAATTACAAGAAAAATGTTTTTTTTTAATATTGTAATGTAATTTTTCGAAAAGAATTCAATTTCTTAAAATAATTTTTGTATAATTTAAAAAAAAACTAACTTCTTGAAGAATTTTGATTAAAATGTTAATATAAAAATTTTAATGTTATTATTTTTTGTATGTATTTGAATTTTTTGAAATTTGTGTTTAAAAATATTGAAAATAATTGAATTTTAAAAAATTAGAATGCAGAAAAAATTCTAAGAATTATTGTTTTCAAAATAATTTTGATATAACTTTTAGAAGCTAATTATTTTCAATAAAATTACCATTTTTAAATTTACTCTTGAAGAGTTTTCATTAAAATTTTTAATAATTTAATTATTTTGAAAATTTGCAATTAAAATTCTTTAAAAGTTGATTTTTAAAAATTGGAACAAAATACTTGAAAAAAATTATTTATTTTCAATTAAATTTTACAAAATTTCAATTATTGAAACTCTTTTTAAATGTAAATTTCGAAAATTTAATTAGAAAAATTATTTTAAAAAAATTATTTTTGAAGATTTATTTATAGTTATTTTTCACACTATATATAAAAATCGAAATAAGTTGCATTTTATACTAAAAATTATTGCAATATTTGGAAGAAAAGTCGGAAAAAGTCGTAATTTTTGAAAATAAGTCGAAAAAAGTCGAAAAAACCACAATATCCAACGCCTGCTGTGGATATTTTTTTGGGGGATTTTTTGTACTTTGACTTTTTTTTCTTGGATTTTTCGGTCTGGATTTGTCGTATTAGATTTTTTGTCCTGTAATTCCTATAAATCTTTTATTAGATTATTCCTGATAAAAAATTAACTACGCCTTTGATTCTTATATAACACATTCACAGACTCCCCTCTCTCTCTCTCTCTCTTTCATTCTTTCTTTTTTAAAATTGCTCCAAAAACCTTGAATGCAATAATAAAAATATAAATCAATTACTCCAGAAATATTCTCTACGTCATTGAATAATTGACAATATAAATCACATAAAAAGTTCTCTCCTAAAAATTATTGCTAACTAAAAAAATAAAATATCGCCTATCGTTTTACTATTGAAGAAAGTTTTCTATACGCGACAAAAATAGTTTTATTTATTGACGAAAGCAAAGCACAATTATATTATTTGCAATAAATGTATATTAATTACAATAAAAATTATTTTTTAAATTTCTAAAATATTTTGAGAAGAAAAAATTAATTTTCTAATTATTTTTTTCTTGCATCCATATAAAGACTAGAATTTTAGAGCAAGAAAGTTTATTTAGAGTACGAATACTTCGTAACAGAAAGAAATGATTTTTACGTGTCACAACAAAGGAAGAATTGTTTCATAGAGAAATATTAATTTATAAATTGGAGCAATTTCTTTTTGCGTATATGAAAACATATAATTTCACAAGATAAGAGGAAAAAGCAAATGATAATAAAGCATGCTCATGGTAAAGGAAAAGCTAAACGTTACGCCGGTGATTTGCCGTACTTACCTCATATCGAGCGTGCTACTAACAGAGAAATTTCTTCCACTAATGTTATGAGCAGCAAACCGAGTTCTCCCCGTTTTATCTACAGTTCTTCCAATAATGAAACAGGACATACGATCCAAAAGTCGGAGTTTAGCTCTTAGCGGCATTATGGCTGATAAGCGTTTTACGCAGATTTTTCTCAGTGAAAAAAAAAAGTATGAAATACGGTAGTTATAAAAACGAGTTAAATTAGAAACACTCGCCGCAAAGGACGAGTGGCAACTGAGAGAATCATGCCACTAGTGCCTTTCAAAAATCTATGGGTAGGGGAAGCCCACGTTGTTGTTGTCGGACCACCGAAACCCAATTTTTTTTTTATTCTTTTATAACCAAACTCGATGGTCTTCTTTTTTCTGTAATTTCAGAGAGGCAATTACAAAATATTAATTCACTACTTGTCGATTATTTTTAACTCGAATTATAAAAACCATGAATTTTTAATATTAGGATACACTTAACTTAAAAAAAACTGGATTGACTGGATTTTTCACCAAAGGCGAGACGAGATGGTTTTAATTTTTTACTTCTTGCTCAAATACTTACTCACGATAACAAAAATTCATCATTCGATTCATCACCACTAGACAATTTATGTTTTAGTGATAAATAATCATGTTTGTGATACAAGTAACATTATTACTCTAATTAGAAATTATTGAATGATTTTCTCTGAGCAAGAATAATTTATATTACTTACTAGTTTTTAAAATTAATCCAGGGTGGTAAGAAGTTTAAGTTTATCAATTTCCCTGACAATTAATATTATTTTCCCTGACAAAATTCTTTTTACAGGAAAATATTAGTTTATGGAAAATGAGTAAACTTTATGAATTTTAATAATTTCTTAAAATCACTATTTATAACCCATCCAGAATATAATTATTTTCTACAATTTTCAACTAAACTTCATCTCTGAAACAATTATTTTAAATAATTTTTAGAAAGTTTTTCTAGAATTCAATTATTTAAATACAAAAACTCAATTTTTTATAACAATTGTAACTGTCTGTTTTTTTCAAAAGTTAATGAGATATAATATTTTCAAAATATTTTAATAAAGAAATTCTTACAATTAATTTTTTAAAAATATCTTCTATATTAATAATCGTTGTATTCAGGTAATCTGTTCGCAGTTTGAAGTTAGTTGTTGTTTGCTTTTTTGTTAATTAACTTTTTTTAATAATTTTTCTTTTTAAATATTTTCAATTTGTAAATTAATATATATTGAAAATCATCGAATTTTTAAATAATTAAATAAATTAAATTCTCGCAAAGAATTTTATTGAAATTTTAGAAAGTAATTGAATTCTTTTGGAAAAATTTATAACGAATTAAGAAAAAAAATTGAATTATTTCTTGGAATTGCTTTGAAAATAATTGAATTTTTGCAAAGAATTTTTCTACTTATTTATAAATATAATTGAAGGATTTATTAATATTTTAGAAAATAATTAAATTTTTTCGAAAAGTTTTTTAAAAATTAAATTTTTTCATGAAATTTTGTTAAAATTGTATTAAAAATAATTTAATTTTTGCAAAGAATTTTACTACTTACAAATAAAACTAAATTGTTTCGATGGATTTATTAAAATTTTAGAAAATAATTTAATTCTTTTAAAATATTTTATAACGAATTTTAAAAAAATTGAATTCTTTCGTGAAATTTTTTTGAAAATAATTGAATTTTTGCATAGATTTTATAACGAATTAAGAAAAAATTGAATTCTTTCAGAAATTGTCTTGAAAATCATTGAATTTTTGCAAACATTTTATAATGAATTAAGAAAAAATTGAATTCTTTCGTAAAATTAACTTGAAAATAAAATTGAAATTTTGCAAAGATTTTACTTATTTAAAAAAATAATTAAATTGTTTTGAAGGATTTATTAAAATTTTAGGAAAAAATTGTATTCGTTCGTCAAATTTTATTCAAATTTTGTTTAAAAATAATTGAATTTCTGCAAAAAATTTTACTTTTTATTAAAATAATTGAATTCTTACGAAGATTGTTATTATTTATAAAAATAATTTAATTCTTATAAACAATTTTATTAAATTTTTTTGAAATTAATGATTTTAATAAGTCTAAAAAAATTAATTTTTATTTTACTTTATTCGAAGAAAATTAAATCTTAAAAAATTATGATAAAACAATTTTATAAGAATTAGATTTTTAAAATATCTAGATGTAATTTTTTGATAATAATAATAATAATAATAAGAATAATAATAATAATAATTATTATTTATAAAATTCAATAATAGAATATCTTAAAAGTATTTTCGTATATTTTAAAAAAACTAATTAATTTATTTGACGAACTTTAATTAAAAAATTTTTTCATGGTTTTTTATCCATAACGTTAAAAAAATCAAAAATTGTAACAAAATACTTGAAAAAAATTTATTATTTTCAATTAGATTTTACAAAATTTCAATTATTCAAAAAGATTTTTATTATAGATATATTTGAAAAATTTAATTGTCTTAAAAAATGATTCAAAAATAATTTTTCAAAGATTAATTTATAGTTATTTTTCGCACTATAAAAATCGGAATAAGTTGCATTTTATACTAAAAAAATGTGATATTTTGTTGCAATATTTGGAAGAAAAGTCGAAAAAGTTGCATTTTTTGAAAATAAATCGAAAAAAGTATCAATTTTCTTAATTTCCCTGACAAAAAATTTTTTTCCTGTCATTTCGCTGACTTTACTGACAAAAATTTTGATTTCCTGATATTTCCCTGACTTTACTGACATGTGGCCACCCTGGAATCAATAAAATTTATTTACTTACTGAATAATTAAGCTCTTCACATTATCAATTTATTTTAAATAAATAAAACATTAATTTTTCACTTAAAATATTTTATGTTTTTAAGTCTAACCAGAAATATTGAATTTTGAAAACTTTGAATGAACAGAAACTTATAACCCTTGAAAAGTAGGTTATAAAAATAAAGTGACATTAACATTGCACCAATTCACACCTATTGTTCATAAAATTCTTTATCCTATCTTAGACTGAGAACTTCACCGTCTCACATCATATTTTCCAATAAAAATAAAATAGTTTATAAAAAATGGTAATTTTAAAAAAATGTTTAAATTATAATAATAATGAATAACCAGAGTTAATTTATTGTGCAAAACATGGAAAACTACTTACTATTTAATATTTCATTTTTCTATTTCCCGAAATTTCTTTTTACAATTTTCATATCTTTATTTGTAAATACTTTTATGAAAATGACTTATTTCATACTTAAGGTAAAGGTCTCTTTCTTGTATGATCAAAGTTTTCTCTTTCGTGATATGGCTCATATGGATCGTCCACATAATATTTCGGACGCGCCCAAAATGGTGTTATCATTTTATCCAATAACCAAGACTGCTTTGCATTACAAAATACATGACGATAAAGTCGCTTCTTGCGATTCAGTGATTTACGCCATAAATTACTTGTTCTTCCACATTTTGTTCGAATCCAAATACCCCTAAAATCAAAAACAAATCATTAATTATCTAATTTTGAAATAAAATAACAGTGTCTATTAAGTTATAACATTTTAAATCAATTTAAAAAAAGAACTAAGAAATTTATTTTTAATATTAAATTACCAACGAAGTCTATAAAATCGAGTAACAACGGTCTTAACAGTTTTTCGTTTTCCTTTTCTCATGGAGTATTTTATGAGATTTCTATTTGCAATTACAGTTGGCTGTTGGATTACTGGCAAGATACTTTGTGCCAGTGGTGCACTAAAAAAGTTGAAAAAGTTATAAAATAGAAATTTTCAATTTTTTTTTATTATCAATGTAATGAAATATTAATATTTCTTTGAAATTTTAAACGTTCAAATGAAGGATTTTTTAAAAAATTTTCACAAATTGTGGGGAGTGGGAAAAATTGTCCTCTTTTGCTAGTTCTAGTGTTAAATATTTTCTTGTATTTAAGAATTAAATTTTGTTTGCAAAACAATATTTTACAGTAAAATTCAAATTAAAAGAAGTAAAAAAAATATAGCTATTCATTTGAACGTTCGAAACTTTAGGTATTGAGATTTAGATTAATAAGGTTGCCACAAAAATTTTATTATATTTTTCCTTGTTTTTCAGACAAAATTTTGACTTTTTCCCTGACCCTAAAGAATATTCTAATTCACTCTCAAAATGATTAGAAATTCTTCAATTAAATATATATTTAGTAGAAAATAAAAACTTCAAATAATTTGAAATAAATTCGATTAAGTTTTTTCAAAAAAAATTAATTCTATAACAGAATTGTTAATTAAAAATATGAAAAATTCAGATTACTAAAGAGTTTAATTTGAAACCTTTTCAAAATTCAATTATTTTAACAATTTTAACTGAAATTTACTCTTAAATCAATTTTTATTAGAATAATTGAATGTTTCTTAAAATTGAAATCTCTTAAAGAATTTTATCTACAAATTTTTAAATAATTAAATTCTTTCGACGAATTTTAATAAAATTTTTAGGAATAATTACTTTTTTCGAGGAATTCGATTAAAAATAATTGAAATTATGACATGAATTTTATTATTTTTGAAAATAATTTAATTCCTAAAAATGAAATTCAAATATTTTTATAATCTACTATTTTAATAAAATTTCTCAAAAGAATCAATTATTTAAAAAAAACTTTAATAAAATTCTTACAAGAATTCAAGTATTTTCATAAATAATAAAATTATTCACAGGATAATAATATTCAGGACGGGATTCCGATTATTTAAAAAGAATTTAATAAAAATTCGTTGCATGAATTAAATTATTTTCCTAAATAATAAAATTCTTCATAGGATTTCAATTCTTTTAATACAATTTATTTTAAGTAAATTCTTCGAAAAATGGCATTATTTTTATAAATTTTATTAAAATTCTTCGAAAGAAATCAATTATTAATTTTTTAAATAATTTTTGCAAAAATTACTTGAGAATTATCAAATTCATTTGTTTACAATTCAATTTTACAAAATGTTGATTATTTGAAAATTCTTCAATAATTCAATATTTATAATAAAACAAAACTTAAAATAATAATTTCCAAAAAAAAATTCAATTAAACTTTTTTAAAAAAAATTAATTCTACAGAATTGTCAGTTAAAAGTATGAAAAATTCAATTAATATCTAAAATTTTAACTGAAATTTATTATTAAATCAATTTTTATTAGAGAATTCTACGAGAATTCAATTATTGAAATACAAAAATAAATAATTTGTTGCATAAATCAATGTTTTTCAAAATTGAGTTCTCATAAAGAAGTTTATTAACAAATTTTTAAATAATTGAATTTTTTCGACGATTAATTACATTTTTCTATTAAAATTGTATTAAAAATAATTGAAATTTTATTATGAGTTTTATTAATCATAAAAATAATTGAATCTATGTAAAAAAATTTATTATTTATGAAAATAATTGAATTATTGCGAAAAGAATTTATAAAAAAATTTGTAAATAGTTGAATTTCTGTGAAATTTTTATCATTTATGAAAACAATTAAATGTTTGCTTAGAATTTTATCAAAATTTTGTTTAAATGATTAAATTCTTTTGGAAAGTTTTATGAAAATAGTTATCAAAAATCATTAAATCCAGAAAATTTTTTGAAAATAATCGAAATTTTGCCAAGAATTTTATTAAAATTTTTGAAAATAACTGAATTTTGGAGAAGAATTTTATTATTTATAAAAATAATTGAAATTTTGACGAGAATATTTAAAAAATTTTTGAACATAATTGAATTTCTACGAAAAAATATATTACTTTTAAAAATAATTGAATTTCTGCAATTATTTGTAACTTCTCTAAAATTCACTTTTTTATAGTTTTTTAACTAAAATTCTTCTATAAATCCCTTATAATTAAAAATTAATTATATTGTAAAAAATTTAACTAATTTCAGAATAATTTTAATTATTAAAATTTTTCAAAAATCTAACTTCTTTAAAAATTGTAATTAAATCCATTGAAAATTGAAATTTTATAAAATTTCAAATTAAAACCCTTTGAAGTTCATCTATTTATGAAAATTAATTGTAAACTCAACTCAACTCTTTTAAAATTGAATTAATTTTAAAATATTTAAGTAAACTTAATCATTTAATAATTTACAATTAATAATTTGATGACAGTTCTTCAAAAATTAATTGATTTAAAAAGAAATTATTGTCAGAAATAGAAAAAATTGAAAGTTTTCTATTAGAATTTGTGGCAACCTTGATTAACACTAAGTTTTTTTAAAGGAGTTTGTCTATTACCTTAACAGCGTTCTATTTTTCCCAATGTTTACATCTTTATGAATATGTGAGGTATTTAAACTTAAACTTCTAAGACAAATTGAATTAACAATTGAGGTTGATGTACATGGCGAGGTCTTTATAAGATTTGTAAAACTTGGCGAACTAACGCATTGTACGCCAGCTGAAATGAATTTAATTTGGAATTAATAATTATTATTACATAATAGTTTTTTTAAAAATTCGCTAAAACAATTTCGAAAAAATATTTTGGTTCATAAAATTAAATATGTGAAATAAAAGTGATCATAATTGACATAATTACATAATTTTTTACATATTGAATTCAGTTAAAATATATATAAAAACAAAATTTATAACGGTTTTAATAATACTGAAAACAATAATTAAAAAATTAATAATTAAAAACAATATTAATATTTCGGTATATGTAATACGTATGAGTATAAAAATTTCAATTTTTTAAAATACTTTCTTTCTTTAAGAAAAACAATATAAAAAACAAGACAATTTATTAACAAATTCAAAAAAGAGCGCGATGTTAAAATCAATTCGTTCCTTTTTTCAAAAAACCAAAATGTCTCCTGTGTACAAGATAACATAACCTCAAAGTGTAAACTATATTTTAAACTACAAATGACAAACAAGTCAGTAAATTTTTAAACATATTATATCAAAATAAAGTTCTTAATCAACACAACACTTTGAAGTTATTGTTTGTAAATTGTAAGAAATGAAGTGTAATGATTTTTACCTCGAATTGCGGAACTGACAATACGCAGCATTCTTCTTTTCCTTTGGAACGGCAACAGCTGTTTCGTTTCGTGTCAACGTTCCCTTTTTCTCCTTGGCTCCGCTCACCGGCCACCCGACAAAAAAAATGTTCCGAATCGGATTAAAATTTCCGTGCAACGGTATCAATTGTATAAATAAAGTAAGCTTGTTTCAATAAACTTTAACTTAAATGTGGTTCACATTAGTGGTGACAGTAATTGAAAATTTTAACATCACAAAAAGTGTACGATTCCAACCTACAATTTAATTCGTTGTGTGTTTGCTTTTTGATAATATCGGACAATCTTTTACATTATTAATGAATTTGTCCGTATTTTGACATAAAATTACAATTTCTGTTTGTTAACAATAACTTACAGTAAATAAAGTTTCTTTAAAGAAGTGAAGGAAAATTTTATGTCACCTCTAATTTTGTGAATTGTCAAGTGAATACTCTTCGTGTTGCCCTTAACCAAGGCTGCACCTCGTGTGACAAGATGGCTTAAAATAAAGTGTCTTACATAATTCCAGAGCATGTTTAACCAGTGTCGTTCTGTCTTCCAGGTAAAAAAACATGGATACTCTAGAATATACCTCACGGCCAGGTGTTACGAAACCCGAGCACGAATAAAATGTGACCCAATAACAAAGTAAGTCAAGTGACTTTTGACCACTTCTAACAAGTGTCAGAATAATTTTTCAAAATATTCTCATTACACTCTTTACAGAAAATCAGAGATTACCTTTCAGTTTTTTTTAATTATCATCGAGTTTTTAACATTAAATTTTTTGCATATTCAAAATTACATTTCCTCGCAATTTAGAAGAGTTATGTTCCTCGAGTAAAGGTCAATATTTATTTCTATATATAAATATAACTGACAACATTGTTAGCATCGTAGTCACAAAGTCAAGGAAAATATATTTTATTTTGCTTTCGTTCGAAAAGTCAGGGAAAGTAGAATTGATCTGGGAAAAGTCGGGGATTTTTATTAAAGTACTGGAAAAAATTTAATTTTGGAGCAGTTACAAATTAATTGCAAAAATTCAATTATTTTCAAAAGTAATACAATTCTTCGCTAAAATTCAATTATGTTCAAAACTAAAAAAAACTCTCGTCCAATTATCTTGTATCTTTAAAATTAATCAAATTCTTCTCCAAAATTCAATTATTTAAAAAAAATTTAATAAAATTCTTGGCAAAAATTCAATTATTTTCTAAAAGTTTTTTGAATTTAATGATTTTTAATACTTATTTTCTTAAAGTTTTCCAAAAGAATTCAATTACTTGAACAAAATTTTAATAAATAAAATTCTACGAAAATATTTAATTACTTTTATAAATAATAAACATTTCACAGGAATTCGATTATTTCCAAATTTTCCATAAATTTCTTCCCATAAATAATAAAATTCTTTTTAAGAATTCAATTATTTTCATAAATAATAAAATTTGTTTTAGGGATTAAATTATTCTCATAAATAATAAAACTTATTGTATGGCATAATGTTAATTATTTTTAATCGAATTCTTCAAAAAAAAGTAATTATTCCTAAAAATTTTATTAAAATTCGTTGAAAGAATTTAATTATTTAAAAAACTGTTGATAACATTCTAAACAAATATTAAATTATTTTCATAAATAATAAAAATTTCACAGGAATTCAACTATTTACAAATTTTTTAAATAAATTTCTTCTCAATAATTCAATTATTTTCATAAATAATAACAATTTTTACAGAGATTCAATTATTTTCATAAATAATAAAATTTTCTACAGAGATTCAATTATTTTCCAAAATAATGAAACTCATTATAGAATTTCAATTATTTTTAATAGAATTTCTCGAAAAATATAATTTTATTCATGAAAATTTTATTAAAATTCGTCGAACAAATTAAATTTTTGAAAAATTTGTTAATGAAGTTGATATAGTTCTTTATGAGAATTAAATTTTGAAAAACATTCAATTACTCAATAAATTATTTATTTTTGTACTTAAATAATTAAATTCTCTTAGAATTTTCTAATAAAAATTGATTTAAAAATGAATTTCAGTTTAAATTTTAAATAATAATTGAATTTTGAAAAAGTTTAAAATTGAAATCTTTGAAAATTTGAATTTTTCATATATTTTTATCTGACAAATTCGTAAAATTAATTCTTTTTGAAAAAGTATAATTGAATTTTGTTTTGAAATTATTTGAAATTATTTCAAGTTTTATTTTCTAAATATTTAATTGAAGAATTTCTGAATAATTGAAATTTTGTAAAATTGAATTGTAAACAAATGGATTTGATAATTCTCAAGGAACTTTTGCAAAAATTATTAAAAATAATTGATAATTAAATTCTTTAGAAGAATTTTAATAAAATTTTATGAAAATAATTACATTTTTCGGGGAATTTATTTAAAATTGTATTAAAAATAATTGAAATCCTATGAAAAATGTTATTATTTATGAAAATAACTGAATTCTTATAGAACGAATTTAATTTCAATTCATTAAATTTATTTTAAATTTCCATAGGTAAAATTTTTCAAGAAAAAGTTGAATTATTTACAAAACATTTAATAAAATCTTTTACAAGAATTCAATTATTCTTACATAAGTAATAACATTTTTTGAATTCAATTATAATTGAATTCATGAGACAAATTTTATTTTTTCTGAAAATATTTGAATTCTTAGAACGAATTTTATTTCAATTTTTTAAATTTATTTAAATAATTGAAATAAAATTCAATTTTTAAATAATTTTATTTAAATAATTGAAATAAAATTCGTTCTAAGAATTTAATTATTTTCATAAAAAATAAAAATTTTCTCATGAATTTAATTATAATTGATTTCAAAAAATTTTATTACTGGTAAGAATAATTGAATTTTTGTGAAGGATTTTATTAAAAGTTTTGTAAATAATTTAATTTTTTTTTTTTGAAAAATTTTATGAAAATTTAAATTATTAGTAAACATGAAGACATAGATCACTCCGAGTTAAAGACTCGGAGTGATCTATGTCTTCATGTTTTCTAATAATATTCTTATAAGTAGTTGAATTTCAAAAAAGTTTGAATTTGAAATTTTTTTAAAAACCTTCATTTTCTATTGAATAATAATAACGATTAAATATTTATTTAAAAAAGAATTTAAGTACTTAATCTAATCATTTTTAGAGTAAATCAAAATATTTTTTAGAGTCAGGGAAAAATTCAAAATTTTGTCTGGAAATCAAGGAAAAGTCAGGAAAAAACACAATTAACTTTTTTTATGGCAATTCTATAAACTTAAATGTAAAAACTCTGTAATCGCATAATTTTTAATCAGTTTTATTTATTTTAAAAAAATTCATTAGATTTCAATTAATGGACTATTTGCATGTTTTTCGGTATGATAGTAACATTAATTATTTTCTAAAAGAAACTGTTGACAAACTGTTTTAGGCCTGGCAAGGATGACAAATTTATGTCCAGGTTTTCTGTACATAAATATTCCACAAGCTCTCCTAAAAGGTATTAGTAAAATAAATAAATTTATTATAATGCATGGTTTAAATTAAAATGCATGGATTCAACAAATTTTTAAGTGAGTCGATACAAAATTATTGAATATTTTGTTAATATTCAGGTCTTTTGGTTTGGATTTCAAAAATTAATAAATGTTTTAGTCAATATTAAATTTTCGTTAATAAAATGACACTTTTACCTAATATTAGTGCTAAATAATTGTACGCTTCTTATTGTGTTGTGAATTTCCACTTTGGGTGTGAAGATAATTAAAATTGATTTCTTTAAACATGTGATGTAACAGTGTAATATTTTTTTTCAGTGAGAAAGGTCGAGGTTCGGGAAAAGCGCTAATCACTTTAGGTGCAGTAACTTTAGGAACCATAGGAATATTAGCATATGCAAAAAATAATCCTGAAGTGAGATCAATGCTTGAAGGATGGATGCCTGGCGTGGATAATACAATTAAAATTATTTTTCAAGAAGAAAATACCTATTTCGATTTCATTAGAAATTTCTTCGATCAACTTAGGCAGTCGTAAGTTTTTTTTGTCTCATTTTCAAGAAGCATATTTTTTTCCCAAAGAGAAATTATAATTTTTTCCTTTTGCAGATTACACAATATTATTTTTGGAGACCCCATGGAAAAGGGAAAAGAAGGTCAGATGAAAGCAAATTTTGATTGCTCATTAGTTGAAGATTATATACGTGAGAACCTTTACCCATCCTATAACATTTCTCATCCTTAAAATTCTCATTCTTAAAATTCCATTTTCATTTAATTAAATTTTAAAAATGTATATAATCTCCTGATCCTTGTTTTCAAATTCATAATACTTGATAATAAAAATATTTTTTTAGAAAAAGTGACCGAAATAATGAATAGCAATTCAATATTTCGGTCACTTTTTCTAAAAAATATTTTTTAATCTTTTTGTAATCCTTTTTTTTCTAAAAAACGCAATTTCAAATAAATCAGTTTTCCAAAAAAAGTTTTTCTAACAAGTTTTGAATTTTAAAAAAAGTTTTTCGAAAAAGTTGTGATTTTTAATATTTATTTTTCTGAAATTTGTAAAATTCCATAATTTTGATAAAAGTTAGAAAATTGTTAAAAAAAGTTAAGATTAGGAAATAGAAACTGTTTTGCATATTTTCTGCTTCTCAATCACAATTCTGTTCACAAAATTATGAGTTTCTTTTTGAAAAAAAGAAATAATTTTATAAAATTCCTATTTCTTATCACAATTTTTTCACAAAATTCTGTTCTTCTTTGGAAAAAAGAAATAATAATTTGTATCATTTTTATACAAAAATTTCCAAAATTAATATATTTATTTAAAATTTTTTTTTTAGAAAATTTTAAATATCTTTAGGGAAAAAATCCCTATAATTTCTATTTGTTAATTAAGATTTTTAATTAGATTGTTTTAAAACTTTGTTAAAAAATATACATAATTTCTGTTTTTTTACAATTTTTTAACGAAATCTAAAGTATTTTTTTAAAGAATTAAAAATTTTTTATAAATTTTATTTTTTAACTATATGCAGGGTGGCCACATGTCAGTAAAGTTAGTAAAGTTAAGGTAAACAATTTTTTATCAGGGAAATTTAGAAAATTGAGACTTTTTCGACTTATTTTAAAATATTTTCGACTTTTCTTCCAAATATTGCAAGAAAATATCATATATTTTAGTATTAAATGTACGTATAATTCTTTTCAATTTTTATAGTGCGAAAAATAACTATTAACAAATCTTTCAAAAATCATTTTTGAATCATTTTTCTATTTAAATTTTCGAAATGTACAATTAAAAAGATTTTGAATAATTGAATTTTTTTTAAATTTAATTGAAAATAATTAATTTTTTACAAGTATTTTGTTAGAATTTTTGAAAATCAACTTTTGAAGAATTTTAATTTCAAATTTTCAAAATAATTGAATTATCAAAATTTTTAATGAAAAATAATAATATTTTAGAATTATTTTTAACATTTTGGAGAAAAATATTATGTTCAAAATATTTCATTAAAATTCATCAAAAAATTAATTAGTTTTTACAAAAACTTTTTTAAGAAATCGAATTGTTTTCGAAAAATTACATTAAAATATTTTTTAAAAATTCTTAATTTCTTAGAATTTGTTTATCATAATTGTTTAAAATTTAATTATCTTCGAATGAAGCACACAAAAATTTAGTTTTTTGGATTATTAAAATTTTTGAGAAATCATGGTCATATTTATAATTAAAATTCTTCAAAAATTTAATTATTTTTTGAAAATATTATACCTTAATAAACTTAAGAAAAAAACATGGACAGTTACAATTATTAAAAAAGATTGAATTTTTGTATTTAAATAATTTAATTCTCAAAGAACTTTTGGAAAATTATTTAAAATAATTGATTAACAAAATCTGAAGTACTTTTTTTAAAGAATTAAAAAATTTTCATAAATTTAATTTTTTAATCATAATTGATCATCTTATTGATCATCATTACAAAAATTGAATATTTTTGAAGAAAAAAAATTTGAAAATTACTTTTATTTGAAAAAAGCTTTTTAGAAATTCACCTTTATTAGAAAAAAAAGTTTTAGAAAATAGAAAATTGGAAAATACGTTTTAGAAAAACTGTACCCCAACCAATATTTCAAATACTTTATAAATGTTCAGTAATTAATTCGTAGAGTGTGAAATTTTTGTCTTCAATGAATATTAACATTACTAACCTGGCTAAATATTAAATTTGCTTTCTGTAGCTCCGAAACCTGCTTTCACACCACTTGTTGAAAAGAAACCAGAACCCGTTAATGAAAATTATACTGAAATTAGATTAAGCAAGGAGAAAGGAGCAGAAATTGAAGTTGGTTTGTATAATAGTTTGTATTTTATTGAATTTTGTGTGATATTATTATTAATTTCCTCAAAATGACACGAAGAAATTCTTTAAAAGCATTTTTATAATTTCAAAATATTCATTAATCTCTTGCGACTAAATTTATCTTCTTTGTTAATAATTTAAATATAAATATTCCCTATTTTTGAAAAGACTTTATTTCTTAAAGCAAGATTTCGTAAATAATAAAAAATCTCCATTTTAAGTTTATGTTTTCTTTATTTGTAAAGTACGTTTTTAATTTTTGATGAAAAGAAATAGCGCCTTAAAGAGAGAAAATAACAAATGTTATTAAAAATTCTATTTAAAATGCAGTTTCATATTTAAATTTAAAGAACATCTTTCAATTTTTCCTCATGACTTTTAAAATTATGAATTTATTTATAAATTAAAAAATTTCTGTTATATTAGTTGCTGAGAAGCCGGAACCACCACAAACAAAAGTCTCAACAGAATTATTACCACAGAGTCTTGTAGATTTAGAAAAATCTTGCGGAGATGCTGCTGCAAAGGCAATTGCAGCTTTCCATTCCGCTATGTGTGCCATTCAGGATTATAACAAAGATGTTGTCCAAGTCGTGGAGAAGATTGATGTTTCTGAAGTAAACAATGAATCATGGGATAGGTTTGTAGCTTAAATTAATTCATTTTGATTGTTTACATCTAGTGAGACAAAAAGTTATCTTGGGCAAAAGATATTTTTTTAAAAGTTTAAATCTAATAATAATTGCTCATTAATTTTGGTTTCATATTCTTTATTTCAATCTCGAACTAATTTCGAAAGGTTTGTAGTTCCTTACCAAGGTGAATTTCTTTCATGTTGTATAAAACGGATATTATGACTTTTTCCGACTATTTTCAAATAATGTGACTTTTATCGACTTATATTAAAAAAATGCGATTTTTTCGATTTTTATTAACGTGAAAAGTATAATAGACAAATCTATGAAAAGTTATTTTTGAATAATTTTTCTAATCTTTTCGAAATATACAATTAAACAGCTTTTGAATAATTTTGAAAAAATAATTTAATAAAATAAAAGTAAATAAATAATTTTAAATTAATTTTTTTTTTTTGAAATTTTGTAAAATTCAATTGAAAATAATTGATTTTTTTCAAGTATTTTATTAGAAATTTTGAAAAATCAACTTTTGAAGAATTTCAATTTGCCAATATTTTGAAAATAATTTAATTCTCAAAAATTTTAATGAAAAATCTTCAAGTGTAAATTTAATAAAAATAAAAATTAATGAAAATTAGTTTCTAAAAATTATATTAAAATATTTTTGAAAAAATAAGTAATTCTCAGAATTTTTTCATTCTAATTATTGAAATTCAATTATTTTCAATATTTTCGATTACATATTTCCGAAAATTCAAATTCATACAAAAAATAATAAATTATAATATTATTTATAATAATAAAAAAAAATATTTTTGAGAAAATAATCACATTCAAAATTTTTAATTAAAACTCTTCAAAAAATTAATTAGTGTTTTCTAAATTATACAATACATCGTTTTGTAAATTCAATTATTTTCGAGAAATTACATTAAATATTTATAAAAAACGAATACCAAACATTGTTTTATCATAATTCTTTAAAAATCAACTACTTTTAAACAAATTAAATTAAAATTTTTTAAAATTTACTTTTTTAGACTTAAGTATTAAAATTTCGGAGAAATGATTTGAAATTAAAATTCTTCAAAAATTTGATTATTTTTTGTAGTTTTTAAAAACTCAATTATTTTTAAAAGATTTTATCAAATTTAAATTATTATTTCTTAAAGATTTTATCAAATTTCACTTATTTTTCAGATATTACCAAATTTAAATTATTTTTTTTAAAAATTATTTTAACAAAAATTTTACCAAATTTCAATTATTTTTCAAACATTTTACCAAATTTCAATTATTTTTCGAAAATTTTAAAAAATTTAAATTATTTTTCAAAGATTTTATCAAATTTCAATTATTTTAAATTATTTTTCAAATATTTTACCAAATTTTAATTATTTTTCAAACATTTTACCAAATTTTAATTATTTTTCAAACATTTTACCAAACAAAAATTTTACCAAATTTCAATTATTTTCAAACATTTTACCAAATTTCAATTATTTTTCAAAGATTTTATCAAATTTCAATTATTTTAAATTATTTTTCAAATATTCTACCAAATTTTAATTATTTTTCAAACATTTTACCAAATTTCAATTCTTTTTCAAAGATTTTACCAAATTTCAATTATTTTTTAAACATTTTAGCAAATTTTAATTATTTTTCAAAGATTTTACCAAATTTCAATTATTTTTTAAACATTTTAGTAAATTTCAATTATTTTTCAAAGATTTTATCAAATTTTAATTATTTTTTAAAAATTTAACAAAATTTCAATTATTTTTAAAAGATTTTATCAAATTTTAATTATTTTTTAAAAATTTAACAAAATTTCAATTATTTTTAAAAGATTTTAAAAATATTTTACCAAATTTTTATTATTTTTTAAACATTTTACCAAATTGAAATTATTTTTTAAACATTTTACCAAATTTTAATTATTTCTCAAACATTTTGCCAATTTTCAATTATTTTTCAAAAATTTTACCAAATTTCAATAATTTTTCATACATTTTACCAAAATTCAAATATTTTTCAAAGATTTTATCAAAATTCAATTATTTTTTAAAGATTTTACCGAATTTCAGTTATTTTTTAAAAGCTAATTACCAAATTTGAATTTTTTGGATATTTTCTAATTGTATATAATTGAGCTGCCGGATCAAAGAAGGGCACATAACCAATGTAATTCAAATGGGTTATGTGCCCTTCTTTGATCCGGCAGCTCAATTATAAAACTATTGTCTTTCAAAAATTATTTTAAAATATTTAAAAAAAATTAATATTAAGAATTTTTTATTCAAATTTTTGAAATAATATTCTACCTTTATATCTTTAAAAATAAAAATTGACAGTTTTAATTATAAAAATTGAATGTTTGTATTTAAATAATAGAATTCTAGAAGAAATTTCGGAAAATTATTGAAAATTAATATAGATAATTGATTGAGGGATCAAGTTTAGTTAAAAGTTGTAGAAAATAATTAAATTTTGGAAGGGTTATAGTTGTAATATTTAGAAATTATTAAATTTCAGAAGTTGGAATTTTTTAAAATTAATTTCCCATTGAAAAAAGAAATAAGAAGTATTTATAAATATTTATTTATCAAAATTATTATAATTTTAATTAATTGAATTTGGAAATCAGTGAAGAATCAGGGAAACACAAAATATATTTGTTTTGTAAATATTAGAGAATAAAATATCATGATTTTCTTTCTAGATTGAAAAGAGCAACTGAGAAGAGAAAGAAAGCAATTAATGAGGCAGAGAAACATGCATTGGATGCATTAACATCGTTAAAACAAATGTATAGTTTAATTGATGATCCTGAATTTGTTGCACCAGCAACAGTGAAAGCAATGGCAAGAAGAAATGTCAAAAAGATTTTAGATGATGTCGACGATGCAAAGAAAAAGTTTCAAGACGAATTATTATCTGCAAATATTACAGAACGGTATTGGAATCAGGTGAAGACAGCTCGAGAAAGTTTTAACGAGGAGCTGCAGATTCTTTTTCCAAATATCAATATTCACGAAAAGAAACTTTCTGTAAATGAAGAAGCATTTGATTTGTTTGTCTTGCACATGTACAACAAAGTCAACTTCCTGCAGAAGGAACTCAACAAATTAGAAGTGAGCATTTCAATATTTACTTTTGTTCGAATTAAGTTAGATTTTTAAAAAATCAATTTAAGTTGATTTAAATATTTAAATTAATTATTTAAACGAGCTTTATATTGGGGGCGTTTATACCAAAGTCGAATTATACTTTTTTTCGATATTTGAAAGTAAAACTAAATTAGGAATGAATTTTATTTCTCATTTAGTATAATAATAATCTGTAGTCTTTAAAACTTATTTATCAAGTGCAACTATGTTTTTTCACGTTTTAAAATTTTTCAAAAAACGTTTTTTGCAAATATTTTGAAAAAATGGTCCGAGACCTATTAATATTTTTTTTAGTTTTGAAGTGCATTTTGAGTTTTTATTTATTTTGAATCTTTTACATTTCTACATTATAAAATTAAAAAGACAGTATATTAATACGAAGTATAAGATTTTTCTAAAAATAGTCGACAACAAATTCAGGTGAAATATCATGGACTTGATCCTCTTACAATTTTTTAAAATTAGTTGTAATTAAAATTTTTGTTTTGAAAAAATAGTAGAGATAAGATCCGGGCTTATTTGTTCAGAACAAAAATTTTAATTAAAAAGATAATGACGGTTTGCATGTGGAAGAATTATCATTTATGTTAAAAATTTTGATTTTGAATTCGAATGACATCTCACAGATGTCACTTTATCGGTAAAGTCGATAACTTCTCTTAACCCTTTGCGTCACAGTGGGTCGCTCAGGGACCCACCTATTCCTTCGCAGTTTTCTGCATTTCTATTTCATATTTATCAATGGATTAAATGATATTTTAGTTTTGACATGTTCCTTATACACGAAAAAGTCTAAAAAAAATTACTGAACCACAATTTGTTAGCAATAAAATCATTATAAACAAATGGATAACAAAAAAAAATGTCCCTTTTACTTAAAAAAATCATTTTCTAGTAACCCTTTCTAACTGTTGAGATGTCAATTTTTGCTTTACTTATTATATCCTAAACTATTTTTGTTAATTTCTACTCTACACGAGTAGCTGCTTTCAAGTGAATTCAGCTGATTTTTAATTTTCATGTCTACCATATTTGATCCGCCATTTTGAATTTTTTGAGAATAAGCACAGATTCGTATTCAGCAACCCTAAAACCCCCCGAGTAACGAGTTTCAACCGAATTCAGTCAATTATTTTTATGCCCGCCATATTGGATCCGCCATTTTGAATTTTTAAGAACCGACCCTAGATTCGTATTCAGCGACCCCAAAATCCCCTGAGTAACTATTTTTAAGCGAATTCAGTCGATTTTAAATTTTCATAACCGCCATATTGGACTAAAATTTTTTTTTTCTTTATTCAGAATTATGTTACTACATAATAAGATTTTATTGTTTGCATCAAGAATTAGTTAATAAATTGTTCTTTCAATGTTAATGCTTCCTCCACGAGGAAGCAAATATTTTTGCTAATTGTAAAAAGGAAGCAAAATGTTCATGTAATGAACATCTGGATTTACAATTTGTTTCAGACAGTTATGGAAACCAAACTGAAGGCAGCTTTAAAAGCAGGAGGAGATACTGTGAATAATGAAAAATTGGATGCTCTTATATGTGCAGAAGTGGATAAGGTGAAACGCAACATGCATGATGATTTCGACAAGAAGGTATGTAAAAAACTTATACTCTGCTTTTAAATCACAAAAATTTATTTAGTTTTTCAAAACATATTTTAATTTGAAAAATATATTTAATTTAATTATAAAAGTAAAAAAACGAGAGAGATTATAATCATAGTAATGATTTCTTATTAGGTACTATTATCTATTATTTCTATTATATTATTCATAAAAGTAGAAATGAATGATAAAAATAAAATAATTATTTTTAAAAAATAAAGAATAACAAACCCGTGTAGAAATCGTTAAGGTCTAAAATTTTAAATTATATAAATGTCGAATCAATTTTTAATCGGTGTTGGTGAAACTATAGCCCTAATTCTACTAACACTAAAGTTAAGTTTGTATCTATTTTTTTATTTATTTTTATTAAGTCCAACAGTTACAACCAATAACAGGACTACAAAATAAAACAATAATTTTGATATCAAAGGTAATAAAATTTCGTAGAATATAAATCTTTACAAAATTGGAAATAAGAAAGAAAATAATTATGTGCTATGAAGAGTAGAGTGAATAAATTCTTTGAAAGATGAATTAAATAAATCTATATTAGATTGAAGATCAGGAACAGTTTTGTTTTAATGAATACACATATTTGTTGTTTTACTGAATTACGTAAAAATATTCGCCATATTGGATCCGTCATTTTGAATTTTAAAAATCTGACTTCATATTTGTAATTAGCGACCCTAAAAACTCCCGAGTAAGAAGTTTAATGTGAATTTGATTAATTTTAAAAAATAAGTCCACCATATTGGAACCGCCATTTTGAATTTTAAAAAACTGACTTCATATTCGTAATCAGCGACCCCAAAAACCCCCGAGTAACAAGTTTGAAGCAATTTCGATCATTGTTTAAAAAAATATTCGCCATATTGGATCCGCCATTCTGAATTTTAAAAATCTGACTTCATATTTGTAATCAGCGACTCCAAAAACCCCCTAGTAGAAGTTTAAAGTGAATTTGATTAATTTTAAAAATAAAGTTGCCTTTACAATAATTTTTCTTCGCAATAATTCAATTATTTTCATAAATAATAAAAAAATTTATAGATTTACAATTATTTTCATAAATAATAAAACTCATAGCAAAATTTCAATTATTCTCAATACAATTTTAATGGAATTTCTCGAAAAATGTATAATTATTCTTAAAAATTTTATTAAAATTCATCAAGGAAATTCAATTATTTTCAAAAATAATAAAATTCTTCGCAAAAATTCAATTATGGTCAAAAGTTTAAAAAATTTATCGTCAAAATTTCAATTATCTTTATAGATATTAAAATTTCTCTCCAAAATTCAATTATTTTCAAAAATTTTAATGAAATTCTTTTTAACAAATTCAATTTTTTTTCAAAAATTCTCCTCCAGTCAATGATTTTCAATATCTACTATTTTAACAAAATTTTCCAAAAGAAATAAATTATTTTAAATTTTTTTTATAAATTTCTTCGCAATAGTTCTATTATTTGCAAAAATATTATAGAGCTTTGCAAAATAATTCGAACCGAACTGTTCGAATTTTTTCGCCTAGTTCGAATGTCGAAAATTCGACATTTCGGCTCCCCGAAACCGAACAAAACTCGGTTCGGTTTGAATTTTGCACAGCTCTAAAAAATATTTAATTTATGTTTACAGAGATTCAATTATTTTAATAAATATGTAATACAATTTTTTACAGGGATTCAATATTATTATTTTCATAGATAATAAAACTCATTGCAGAATTTCAATTATTTTTTATACAATTTTAATCGAATTCCTCGAAAAATGTAATTATACTTAAAATTTTATTGAAATTCGTCAAAAGAATTAAATTATTTTAAAATTTGTTAATGAAATTCTTTATGAGAATTCAATTTTGAGAAACATTCAATTATTCAATAAATTATTTATTTTTGTATTAAAAATAATTAGGTATTTAAAAAGAAATATTATTAAAAAATTCTTCTCAAGAATTCAATTATTTTCAAAAGTAATAAAATTCTTAGCAGAAATTCAATTATGGTCAAAAGTTTAATAAAAGTTTTAGTCAAAATTTCAATTATTTTTATAATTATATTAAAATTTTTCTCTAAAATTCAATTATTTTCAAAAATTTTAATAAAATTCTTGGCAGTATTTCAATTATTTAAAAAAATGTTAATAAAATTTTTGACAAAATTTCAATTATTTTCAAAAAATTTCTCAATTCAATGAAATTTTTTTACAGAGATTCAATTATTTTGACTACATTTTTAATCTAAATTCTCGAAAATGAAATTGTTCTTAAAAATTTTATTGAAATTCGTCAAAAGAATTTTAGTTACCTTTTTAAAAATTTGTTGATAAAATTCTTTAAATGAGAGTTGAATTTTAAAAAACATTCAATTCTTCAATAAAAAATTTTTTTTGTATTTAAATAATTAAATTGTCGTAGAATTTTCTAATAATAATTGATTTAAATATGAGTTTCAGTTTAAACTTTAAATAATAATTGAGTTTTGAAAAGCAGGTCTTAAATTATAATCTTTGAATGTTTGAATTTTTCACACTTTTTTTTAAAGTTATTTCAAGTTTTGATTTTCTAATATATTTTTGATAAAAGAATTTCCGAATAATCGATGAAATTTCGTAAAATTGAATTGTAAACAAAAGGATTTGAAAATGTTGAAAGAAATTTTCTAGAAATTATTAATCATAATTAATTTGCACTTTATAAAGAAGAATTTTAGTTTTAAATTCTGGAAAACAATAATTGGATTAAAATAATGAAAGTAATTTTGAATAAGTTACAGTAACAATATTCTTTCTTACAATGTAAAATGATGATTTTATCAGTCCAAAATTTTTAATTATTATAAAGCATGAAGATATCGATTGCTCCGAGTCTTCGACTCGGAGCAATCGATATTTTCATGTTTTATAACAATGTTTTATAAGTTGTTTAATTTCAAAAAGGTTAGAATTAAAAATTTTGTAAAATATTAATGTAGTTTTAAAAACCTGGAAAAATTCCGTTTTCTAACCTGGAAAACCTGGAAAAGTCAGGAAATTTGAAATGTGCAAAAGCGTGGCAACCCTGTCCCGAGTAACAAGTTTCAAGCGAATTTAATCAATTTTAAAAAATAAGTCCGCCATATTGGATTCGCCATTTTGAATTTTGAAGATATGAAAAATCCGACTTCAGATTTCTTAATCAGTGACCCTAAAAACCATCTAAAGTCTACTTGGTTTATTAAATTCCTTGACTAGAAAAATGTATACTTCAAAGAGTTAAGAGAATTCATCTGCTTACATTTATGTTCTTTTCAATTCTTCGACAAAATTGTACACATTTTATTTCTGATAAGTCAATTTAATTCTGTTTAATATCATTAAAATTGGGATCAGTTGAATTCCCTTTACAATGTAAATATTATTGACACTTTAATTCATTCAAATACAAAGGAATTAAAGCGCAATAAAATGACATCTATTGACTCCAAAATTCATAATTATTTTAATCCAAATGAATATTGTTGTTGAAATTTTTTGGAATAATTTTAATTCCTTTTAATTAACCTCTTCCTACCGGGCAAAAAACGCATAAACAAAAATGTTTGACAATTTTCCAACAAATATAGGATTAGCAAGCTGGAAGATCTCGAGTGGAAATTGAAGTAACTATGTTACTAAATGAGTTTCACACTGGTCATACAAAATTTAAATGAGGAAAATGAAAATTAGAATAATACGAACAGACAACAAAGTGGAGACAAATTATAAGATTGCGATCTAATCTCACTATCGCGTGCGTAACATAAGTAAAGTGAAAAAATTGTGGTTTGTGTAGGGCAGAGAATGAAATTGAAAACTTGCAGTTATATTACACATATATATATATATATTATGCATCCTTTTATGCAGACACATATATGCGACATTTGCACACATCTAGCTATTTTCCGTGACGCACATGTATCCATAGAATGAAGGTAGTAAAGGTTCTTCTAAGCTTCATATTCCCGCACTGACTTTTTATCTATTTCCATTTGGAGGACCGCCAATATTTCGGAAGTAGGAGGCAATATTATCTCTTTAGCCCTAGCATTCCGGTATATACGCAAGGTACACGATTCTACGTCCCCACGAATCCTATGACTTATTTTCTATCTCTCTTACTTTTCTTTGCCACCAGAAAAGAGCTTTTGTTAAACGGCAGACAATAGCCAACGAAACATAAGATTGGACCGAGAATTGTTCTGTCCTCATTTCGTTTTATTTCACAAAAAACAAAACTTCAATCTCATCGGCAAAGATTTCTTCTCCTTTCTTTTTTTTCATTTTTTTAATATGGATAAAGATATCCTAAATGTTGCTTGCCTAAAAGAAGAATATTTTTTTCTTTCTACAACCAATGTATTGGCAAAAAATATTGGAGTTGATCTTTATAGTGTTTTCAGCGAAAAAGTCGAAATTTTTGACAATTTTATCAAAAGTATATGTAACCTTCCCTGGCGCTCACAATATTTGACCTAGTGGACTGCAGTTTTGCATTTTTATGAGTAGATTTCAGAAATAATGTAGCCAAAATAATTTTTAAAAAACTCTACATATTTTATTTTACATGTAGATTGAGCGTATTTATAAAATGTTCCTTATAAGAGCTAAAAGGATGATTTTTTAAATTGTGGACCTAATTGGTGGACGCAAAATCAGAAGTCTTTGGACCTCATTCAATGCAAGCCAATTAATAAATAAAAGTGTAAAATAAAAATATTGTTTTATAAACAAATGTTTGCTTAAAAGATACAACAGTTGCTCAAAATTGTTTAAACGACCATATCTTCTAAACAGTTAATGCTAGAAAATAATTTTTTTGAAAAATATTCAGCAAAATAAGAGGAAGAACTCCTAACATAAGTTAAGAGTGTTTTTGTTTTATTTTTTTAATAACAAAGTCATTTAAATAAAAAATTATGTGCGCATACATGTACTTTAAAAATTAAAACACAAAAATA